AGGGCACTTTATTCTTGACCGCGGCCCTTCGCGCTCGAAACCTATGTCAAACCTATGATTTGCCTATTTTGGCTATATCTGGGCCCTTATGAAGACATGCTCATTTTGGGGCATCTCTGGCTAGGACCATCATATGCTTAGAGCCCGCCCCGATTAATTTCTACTCGGAAAGCTTTTTATTACACGCTTTTTCTGGGACGTGTAGCTTCGATCTTAAGGTGTAGCTTAATCTTAAAGTTATCTTTGCTTTTTGTTTCAAATATATTCAGGGTGGCAATAGTTATTGACTTACCCTGTACATTCCACGGATGTCATAGAGTCCGAAAAATTTCTCTCCCGAGAATATTCGTGTCGTCAAACTTTCAACGGCGCGCGCTGATTAATAAGGGTATTTCACCGTCGATTTTTTCTCTCGAGGGAAGTCCCAAGGGACGAGCGGGAGAGCATTCTCTTCAGTTTCCTCCGGGCTCCTCGCGAGCAACCCTGCCGGAGTTTATCGCGGCCTCCTTTTACCTCCCTCGCAATCTCACGGCCCGATACATGGTATGTAACGCGCGCATCTATGATTTACAGCGCGGGCGGCCCGTTGGCGATGGTGATGACGTACCTGACGGAATTTCATTCGGCGAGGTACAAGCCGCGCTTCGCCACGTGGACAGGATTCCTCTTCGCCGTGGCGAACATCGTGCCGGCAGGTAGACACGCGATCGCGCGATAAATCCTTCGTAATGCATCGCGGTTATCAATAACGGCGACGCGTTACTCGCGAATAAACGACACCGCGCAACAATCATCGCGCGAGAGCTGGATTCGAGTTACACTCGGGGAAAAAAATGCTAGTGAAAGGTTTAAAAAAAGAATCTCACGATGTGATTCTTGTGAAACATGTAAAAAATTTCTACATGACGAATGTACGCGTTTATTTATAGCCGTGGCTATTTGGCTCTATTGTACATATAGCTATTGTTTATATTGTTGTTGTTACTTGTTTCCACATAGTGAAATCAAGTTGCATATAAACGCGAGCAAGGCGTCGTCGAGAGTGGCTCGCGCGCGAAAAGGATCCAGAAGGGATCCCGTGCAGCTGTAGTTCGTCGTGTCGGGGTTGGCGGAACTAGTTCGAAACTAGATTACGTGTCACTATCGCGGCGTCCTGTGTGTAATAACCAGCGAACTTTACCTAACAACGCGTGCGATGAATCACATTGGCACCGACTGGTTCCAGCTGAATGCGAGAGATATCGAGCGCGCCAAGCTACAAGAAGTTAATTAATTTACTTCCAAGATTATTTGCCGCCGCCTTCTCGCCACATGATGCACCATACACTGTATGTGTGTGTATGTGCACGCCTTATATGTATACGATATCTCGATAATCCTCCTCGCTCGGCTCTTTAATTCGCCTTCGGGCAAAGGAGGACGTTAAAAATAGGCCATTTTTCGCTCATTCCGACAGAAACATAAATGGGCAATTAATTTTATATTTTAAAGACGTATCAAAACAATAAAATTCCTAAAAAACACTTCATATCGCTATTTCAACAGTCAATAATACACTCCGATTTTCATAACTTTCCCCGGACCTGGTAAATAAATAATTGTTATCTTCTGTTTATGGGTGATTCCAAAAACAGTTTCTATGATTAACTAAGGTTCCGTCAATGGACCAAAAATGGCCTATTTTTAACATCCTCCTCTCTCCGGCATTGGCGATGCGCGCACATTATTTCTTCAACGGTTAACTTTCCACCGAATTAAGATTCTTCATTGTCGTCTATCACGACTCCGCGAAAAGCTAAAAAAATCGAGAAGGGCTCGGTCCATACCTCTCTCCTTGGGGAACCAAGAGTTAACTGGACGAGAGCAGAGAGGAAATAGAGATAAGAGCACACGTGCGCCTCCCCCTTAACGCGCTTTCGCTAATCCAACCCGTTAATCGAACACGTCCGCGACCCGGCAGCGTTGGGCTTTATGATACTGCCGTTGGATTGGCACATCGACATCTTCGGGCGAGGCTACGACTCCTGGCGTATATACCTGCTGATCTGCTCGATACCTCCCGTCATCGGCCTCGTGACGTCGGCCATGTTACCGGACAGCCCTAAGTACCTCATGTCGATCGGCAGGTCGGACGCCGCCTTGAGGTTATTCAGGCGGATGTACCGCATGAATACTGGACAGCTCCCGGAAACGTTCCCGGTAAGCCGAGTAATCCTGCGACTATTCAACTTTTATCGCGATTCGATTGTTCGTCCCGATTTCAAATCGAATTCATTAATGATTGATAGCGGCCGCGGAACTGATCGTCGTGGTAAATCCGCGCGCACGACGGCCCCGTTCATTCGGCGCTATTTATTGGAGAGGGACCTCTCGAACGAGCGGCAGAAAGGAAAAGAGAGAGAAAGAGAGGGAAAGAGTCCATACTCCTCATTCTCCCGGGCTCCCAGGCCGGGCAACAACGATATTGCATTATTCGGGCGTTATTATCTTTTTACCGGGCGCGCTTATCGAGCGGGCTCGTTGTTTCGGGCTTTAACAAATGGCCGGGAGATATCCTCCGCGACTTCATAGCGCCTCCGCTAGATACAAACGACACGTTTTATTTACGGCA